CTAGATAATATATCACTCAACTGGTCAAACCAAGCTCCTAAAAATAATTGGTACTCAGGCCAAGACCCTGCCCAGCTCGGTCCATCAATCCTAAACATTTTTTTAAAAAATGCTTTTCTAAAAATCTTGCAATTTATTTTTAAAGGTAATGCATGGAGATGGTTAAAAATTCAGAAGACAGAATAGAATAGACTTCTGGGCAGCAGAAAGTTACCCCACATCAGGAAGGAAAGAGAAAAACAGAGGAGCAAACTCCATTGGAACAACTGACAACTGAACTGTGGAGCCAGAGCAGGTGGAAAGAACACTGGGGGCCTGGGGAGACCAAGGGATGTGCCCTCCACTGTGCCCCGACCCCAGGGGAGGCCAAGGGATGTCCCCTCTTCTGTGCCCCCAACCCCAGAATAGTAATGGTTACCTGTCCGTAATAAGTACTCTGTATCCTGGAGAGTCCTAAACTCTTTTTTTTTTTTTTTTAATTGAGGTATAATTGACATATAGTACTCTATTAGCTTCAAGGTATACAACATAATGATTCGATGTTTGTATATATTGTGAAATGATCTAAACTCTTACAGCAAGAATCTTGCCCGATCTCAATCACTAAAAACCACCCCAAGCCGAAAACCTTACACATATCCACTGCTGACCCATCCCTTGTGAGACGTTACTAAGAGTGCTGAGGTGGTGGTCTCCCTCACTATAATAAGTATTAAATCTCACTTTGATTAACCAATAGATTGTTCAGACAACCAACTGGGGCAGTCTACACTGCAAAGGCAGGTAAGTGAGTTGCTTAAGGTTATGGAGGAGCCGAGCCAGATGCTGGTCCAGGCCTTCTGACACCAAGTCCAGTAGCTTACGTTAGAACTATGGTGACCCTGAGGATTACTTCCTCCAATCCTTACATTGTCAGAAAACTGGGGATTTAAATAATTTACCTGTTTACCTTAGATTAGGGATATGTTTTGTATTATTTTCCCCAAATATTTGTTATTTTTAAAAGTTATTTCTAAGACACCAGTATTTTGTAACATCTTCCCCACTAACCATTGGATTTCAAGTTTATGTGACTTATCTCCATCTGCACCCAAATCAGGACACACACCCACCTGTGACATATTTGCCAAAATGATTCAGCTGAGGTCTTTCTCTAATGAGACATTCCTAGAATGCACTCCTGCCTCCTTGGGGAGGAACCTCTTCAGTGAAACTGAGGACAGTAAGGCTATGAAAATAAAAGACTCAGGAAAATTACAAGTGACAGAGTACTGAAACAAGTCTCTGCTAGACTTCTTTCTTCTGGATCAAGGCAGACCCATCCATGAAGACACGACACTTGCACCTCCTCGTCTTAACGTTCTCTCCTTCTGGCAAAACCTCCCTTTCGGAACGCAAATGGTCATGGGAGAGGCCATTTTCCCACAGCTTCAGTGAGGGGTAACTGACAAATAGTGTTGTGTAAATATAAGGTGTACCACATGATTTGAAGTGTGTATATACTTTTTAAAAGATTTATTTTATTTTTTAGAGAGAGAGCACAAGATGGAGGGGCAGAGGGAGAAGGAGGGAGAGAATCTCAAGCAGACTCCCTGCTGAGCGCAGAGCCTGATGCAGTGGCTCATGACCCTGAGATCATGACCTGAGCCGAAACCAAGAGTTAGCCGCTTGACTGACTGAGCCACCAGGTGCCCCTGATGTGTGCATATCTTGTGAAATGATCACAATGACGATAGTTAACACATTCATCACTTTCCATAATTATGATTTGTGTGGGTGTGTGTATGGTGAGAACACTTATGATCCACTCTCTTAGCAAGTTTCAAGTCTACAATACAGTATTATTAACTAGAGTCACCAGACTGTACGTTAGATCCCTGAATTTATTCAGCTTAAAACTGGAAATATGTACCCTTTGACCACCAACTCCCCATTTGCCCTGCGCCCCAGGGCCTGGCAATCCCCAATCTACTCCGTTTCAATGAGTTTGACTTTTTTAGATTCCACATGTAACTGACATCATTCAGCATCTGTCTTTCTACTTCTAACTTACCCAGGAATGCTGTAGTTTAATGAACAAAGAGACTAAGCCTAGGGGAGAAGAGTCTCCCCAGGGAGTAAGACTACCCTGAAAGAATGGTAGAAACTTCTCCTTCTTCCCCGTTTTGTGTAGGGCTAGTTGTCCTGAGGTGACTGTAAATGTTCTCCTTTTCTTTCTTTTAATTTCTCTTAACCTTTCTTCTTTCCTTTTCTTTTCAGTTGTTGTTGCTCCTTGGAAAACAGCATAGAAGAATGCCCATGGACCCACAGACAAGGACCCGATCTATTCTTGACCTTCTTACTTATGGGTTACGTTATAATGCAGGTATGATATTATTATTATATTATTGCTATTGCTATATTATGAGTGAAAAAAGAGAAGCACACTCAAACTATCAGTTTGACATCTTGTCCTTAATTCTTGCACAGACTAATGTAGCACCGACAAGGAAATCATTTTCACAGGAGGAAAGAGCTAAATGGCTTTTCTAAAGATTAAATTTGTATTCTTAAAAAAAAAACTTAATTTTTTTTCTAATTGTAAAAATTGGAAAATTAATTTTTCTAATTGTAGGGTATTATTTCCTGAGATTGACTGGGTGACAGCACCCCCAGGGAGCTGCCTTTCAATTTGTGGTGTGCTGGGTTGTCCTAAAATGCCAATGGCTCTGGGTGTCCCTGAAACCACACAATTACTGGGCAAGTCTGAGGGCATCCCTATTCCCTGATGGTCTTAAAAATTTGGCTCAGGTACCCCCACAAATTTTCTCTCTCTCTTTCCCTCTCTCTCTCTTTCAATTTTCTCTTTTTAAAACCACTTCTAAACATTTAAAAACCAACAACTGAATTTCCCCCTCACAATGTTAATTAGCAGTAAAGGATGTGATTTCTAGCATTATCATATCTGTGCTTCAATATGACTTTGAGAAAACACTGGAGAGTCTTATTCATCTAATGCGTTCACTTTTATGACTTTGGGCACCATAAAGTCAGCCTTCAGTGTCAAGCCAATGAGCCAAATCTGTCAGAAAAAGTCTGACTTTATTTTTCAAATCATATGACACGTTAACACACGCCCTTGAGACACCCGCATTATTCCTAAGGCCTATCCCTAAGGTGGATGAATTCTTGGAGGGAGGTTTTCCAAAAACTTGTCACCTGGAGAGACGATAAGACAATAAGATGCTGCCCAGGGGGATTCCCCCTTCTGGAGAAAGCCGCATGGGAACACTCCTTATGTTTAGCAACCCAGATCAATAAGCACCATAGTTTCACATTTCTTGTGTGTGGATGAGAGTCTCCCCTTTCTTTTGTAAACTAGGAGCAGGTGAATAAGAAAAAGGTTGTGGAAAAGGAAAACTGGAAGACCAAATTTAAGAAAGAGTTCATTGGGAAGCAAGGTTCTAGAAGTGGCTTCTTCTAAGTATCCCTGTCTGCCTGTGCTCTGGAAGTCTCTGGGAACCCCCAGGGCACATTTAGGAAGGTAGTTATTCTGGGTAGGTGAGTAATGTCATTTTGGTTCTGAATTTGGCAGGTAGACTCTGAATACAGGCCAGAGTATTACACTCCCCTCATGGGGTGTTGTAGATTTTAGGCTGAATTCTCTTCCCTGTGAGTGTGGCTGTGGGGCTGGACCCGCACACTGTCTGTCTTGTGTGAAAAGGGGAGTGTCTTCAAGACACTAAGGATTGATGCTGCCAGGAATTTGTCTAGTATAGTACTTGCAGCTTGATAAAGACCCTGGAGAACCATGTAGTGTTCAAGGCCGGCCCCATGATGTTATCTGATGGCAGTTGGATTGAGCCAGTTGGAAGCAAACTGAAATTGGGACACAGGTTGTTACAAATGTGCTGAGAAGTTTTTCTTTCTCTATGTCAACCAGACCTCTTAGATTCAACTTATTATACTTTGTGGTGATAATATACAAGCCCCAGAAACATTTATTCTCTTCTCATAAAAGGTACTCCCAACGCATACTCATATCTATGCGTGAATTGTCAGCCAATAAAAGAATGAATACACAAAATACTGTCTTGACTAGTTAGGATCATTTTTGGTATACAAATTTCAGGTACTGCTATAAACTCAAAATAGCTTCTCAAGCCATATATATTAGCCTTATTTCCTCATTACAGTTATCCAGGTTATAGCGATATACACTCTGGCAAAAACCCTTTAATGACTATTCCTGGAGGAGAGGTAGAAAAGAAGAGAGTCTAACTCCTTCCCCTCAGCACAAGTTGGAGGGGGCTTCCCAGTATAAAATTCATCCATTCATCTTGTCAGCCATTCTCCTTCCAGCCCCCCAATATTTAGTTGTATAATTACACATGTCTGTGTAATATATCTGCCAAAAAATTACATTCCAAATGCTCATGCATTTTTATAAAGATCACGTTACTTCATATTATGACACAGTCTTCTAAAATACTCTTAAGTAGCTAGCTTGATGTTCCTTTCTGATACTTTATCAAGGCAGGTTTAAGAAAGTAACATTAAAGTTGTATGTTTTCATAAGCATTTTAAAATGGATATCCTTTTGAGTCTTACAGATTTTAAATACATTTATTCTTAATAGATTAATAAATCATAATTACTTCTAAAAAGCTTACCCTTTTACCATTTTCCCCTTAGATTGTGATTTGTCCCTCAGATATCACAAAAGACATAAAACATGGAAGAATAAAAGTTATTTTCATCTTTTTGTAAAGGTTTATACTTACAATTTATGTGTGAGTGAATGAAAAGAAAAGAAATGCACGACTGAAAATATTACTTTTCCAGGAAAAATATTAATGATGTATTTGACATTATTTATAAGTATATAATTACGTAAATCTAATTTCCAGTGGAGAGTGTGTATTGATACTCAGAAAATTAGCTCATTAAAAAGAAAGATCTCTTCTTTGCTTAATATAATCCCACTTGTTTAAATATGTATCAATGTTTGATGGTGTTACCTTAAGATTTTAGTGACTGCAGTCTCCTTTTCTAGAAGATTCCTTGCCCTTATGCTGAAGACAGACTTGCGAAGCTGAAAAATTATAAGTGCGACTTTAGTTTTGGAATGTAAAGGGATAATATACTGACAAATCATTACATACATTAAATAGATAACACTATTAAAACATCAAACATGAATTTTTTTTCCACTAAAGCATCATTATACGACTGATTCTGTCATTTATTTTTTTAAAAAGATTTATTTATTTATTTAGAGAGAGCACAAGCAGGAGGGGCAGGGAGAGGGAGAGAGGATCTCAAGCAGACTCCATGCTGAGTGTGGAGCCCAATGCGGGGCTCAGTCTCAGGGCTCCAAGATCACCACCAGAGCCGAAACCAAGAGTTGGACGCTCAACCGCCTGCACCACACAGGCGCTCTGAGTCTATCATTTAATTTTATTTTCTATTTTCACTTTTATGTGGGCAGAAATGCAAACAAGCTTGTGGGGCCACACGTCATAGCTATAACGTCTTAATCTGAATAGGTTTTCCAGTGTCCAGAGAATTTAACGTTAAGATAAATATTGGACTCTTTCTTGCCATTGTCCAATAAAATGTTCTCTAATCCACTTTACACCTGTTTCAGGTTCTTGGCCTGGGACCTGATACTAATCTGAATGATGAGTTCAAAAAGTTGTTTTGCCTACAGGCATGGAGACAAACGAGATGAGCTTTCAAGGTTGCTTCCTAGTTGGTGATGATGAAATTATTCCAGGGAAAAGCACTAAGAAAAACAAAATCCTGGAGGCTGCCTACAAACCAGAAGATTCTCCAAACCCAGCTCTGTCCTGCTTGATAGTTGCAGAATCAGAGGGGTGACAGGTGTACAGAGAACTGAAGTGGGCAAAAACAGGGCAGAGAAAGAACAGGGAAGCATGCCATCCTAAGAAAATTCCTAATAACAAATGACTAGAAAGGGTAACTCCAGTAGTCAGACCAAAGGTAATACTCAGACAACAACCTGCTCATCTTGATCAATAGATTAGGTTATATTTACGAAGCACTTAGTATGCTATTAGTGGCTATTAGAGATATGGGTTAGCTAGGAATCAGAATTCTTGCTTACCAAAATTGAAAAGCCTAGTTACAAAGGCAGGCTATGATGCGTGACGTTACCAGTAAAAAGTAGACAGTAAAGTGCTGGATGATATGTCCAGTAGAAAAGATGAGAAGGCTATAGGACTCCAGATGGGGAGAGATATGCGTGTCTGAAATAGTCAGCAAAGACGTTATTGATGGAGTAGAAGTTGCTCTGACTTGAAAAATGGTTAAGATTTACATAGTGTAGGGGGCCGTGGGCAAAGAACTGCAGTTGGAAATGCATGCATGGCGCAAAGTAATCCGGAGCAGACTATTTGCATAAGTGCTGAGCTAGGTGGAGGAAAGAGTGTAAGGCATACTGCGTTTCAAACAGATTTGAGGGAGGAAGAAATAAGCAGGAGATAGAACAACTCTGTATTCAGTAAAAACAGACCATCCAGTTTCTTTCGAACAAATTAGTGACTTCATGGGCAAAGTCACAGAGCTCCAACCTACGAACAAGCCTATAAACAAATGCGGTACCACTAACCCATGTGTCCACATGGCCACAGCTAGAGAGGAAGTGGTGGGCACAAACTGGTCTTTTCAGTCACACCTGACAACCTAGAGAACACCAGAATCGGCAATATAATTTTCATATTTCACAGCAAAATCTGCAATTAAGGGGAAGATCACTGGACACATTGGCAATTTCCCTCATATGGGGAAAGCTGGCGCACTTATATTTTCTCAATGAAAAACTGAATTGGTTTCATTATTCACCAGAACTCTTGGAAGAATAAATTCATGTGTAGACAAGGAGCTAAGAGTGGATGGAATTTTTCCAGAAATTACATTTTCAGGGCAGCGCAAGAAAGGCTGTTTACCATGATGTATTGTGAAACTTTCTTAAGTCTCCTCACCTCCCCTGACTTTTGGCATTGATCTAACCTCCTAGCGCTGACAGCCTATCTCCCAAGGAATGTTATTTAAAGTTATTTTCAGAGACAGAAGACTCAGCTGAAGGAGCCCATCATGGTGGTGGTTCTGCCTTTCGATACCCAAGTACACACATAGTCATGGGAAAAGCCCAGGCCACGGGGGCCCCAAGGCAGCAGGTTTTAGAAGAGGACTGGACCCCACTACTCTTGTTTCATCTTTGAAGGACACTGACATGACTTAGTCATCTTTCCCTTGATGTGAGGCAATGGTCTGAATTCAGTCACTTATCTACTGCCCTGTACCTGAGCAGCTGCCACTGAAGGCAGTGTTCATCATGTCAAAAAAACCTCTGCAGAAACTGCAAATAAGTAAATAATACTTATTATATTGATTCCAAAATTATTTCTGTGCAGCCCAAGATTGCTAAAGGGCTGCCGGCTCTCCTTTGTCCTAAACTTGAACTGGCTAAAATAAAATACACTATTAATCTGAACAAGGAAGTACTTGAAAACTGTTTTTATAATAGCAGAAGTGGCCAAAGAATAAATAGTATAATAGAAGGACTTCAGATTCAGCCTCAGATTGATTGATTGATTGACTGATTGATTTTTTTTTTTAAAGTAAGCTCCACACCCAATATGGGGCTCGAACTCAGGACCCCGAGATCAAGAGTCACATGCTCCACCGAGTAAACCAGCCAGCCACGTCCAGCTGTAGGATGTTTTAAAAGAAGAAATATCTACATTTATATCTATCATCTATCTATATGCATATTTGATAGCCTAGATATGTATTTAGATAGTTATATATTTTGACTGTTCTTTTTTTTCCCTAGTAAATAAAGGAGGCCTATGGTGATTATCTACTATCCCTTCAGTTGTTCTGATTTCTGCAGTAAAGCTTTGCACATTTCTGCAAAGGACAGGGTCTGCTAGTCCTTAGTACTCAGAGCTACGCTGCTCTGCAGTGCCCTCTTCTGGCTCCAAAAGATACTGACAGCCACCTGAAATGATCAAAACAAGGAATATAGAAATCAATTTCGGGATAAGTAATTTTAGATCTGAAGTTTTCAGTTACAGCTATGGATGGTGTCAATAATTGTTTCTTCTGGATATAAACATGTCATACGTGTGGGACTTAAAAGGAGGGGTATTGGTCACGTCACAGGGAGTTCGCACTGAAAAAAAAAAAGACCACCTTTTTGGTGGTTTTATTTTGTTTCTAAACTTAAAACATCCAACTCCAGAAGATAACCATTCTCTGGCTGAATTAATGATAAAAAAATAAATGTAAATGTTCAAGCAATACAGAGATGATTTTTTTTGTCTTACAATTTTAATGTAAAAGATGTTTCTAGAACCATGCACTTTAACATGAAACTTAGGAGGTTCAAATTTGCAGTTATTTGTGGTTGAATAATTTGGAGCTGAAGGACACAGCAATGGATGGATCTTGCTGGTTTTCTGGCAATTTCTTTAACATCTTTTCATCTATAGGTACTCCCTTTACCCCTCATGGTTGAAGGACCTGGGCCATGTGACCTGTAGTTTCTGGGAGTCTGGATTTTCCCAAGTGCACATTCACGGCATAGTTCTCATGTTCCTGTCTTCTGTACTTCCTGCAAATCAGCAGCTGGACCCAGAGTCTCATCAGCCTCATACTTGATTGCTTTGGTAAAGGCCAAAGGTGGTGGTGTGGCCTTTCATCGCCACATAATGTCCAGTTGTTCCTCTTTCTGTGTTGTTAGTAGTAGTATTGATGTTTGTTGCTTAGATTATTGATTCATTGTGAAAAATTGCTACTTCTTTCTCATTTACCAGTTGGAACACTTGTATAACAAGAGACTTCCTTTCATGTACTATTTGGTTACTCAGTAGTTCAATTCATACGGAAAATGTAAGGTAAATGTTGAATTCTTTACCTTTACTTGCTCATTTTTATTTAATTAATTGATTTTCTATCCGTCCTCTGAAGGCGACCGATCACTAGTTTAAAAATGTCATTATGAACTCAACGGTTTAAATATATTTGGTTTCAATCCATTACAACCATTACCCTCATGTTAGGTCACAGCATCTCAACTGTGCTCACTGGGAACTTTCTCAAGACGGCCCATGGGTTCTTTTGCCCTGACTCTGTTAGTCTTTGTGTAAGTTTCCCTGTTGTTGGGTATGGCAAGATATCCCAAGCTCATGTTCTATATCCTTCCTATTCCAAATTAACAATTTTCTCCAAAAAACCCTGGTTTATTTATTGAGAAATGGGTTCGAAGAACATAATTTAGATGCCAGTGAAACCCACTGCTACTGAGTCGGTCACTGTTTTGAGGACTTTGCCTGCGTTTATTCTGATACTTTCAATTTAAATTCAGGACACAGGGTCTTTACCTCATCTCTTCTATATGACATCTGTATGTCTTCTGTATCTGTACCCCCCTTCCCCCCACCCCACATCAAGTCTCTTGATTTTCAAGTACACAGAGGATGACACACATTAGACTATCTGATAATAACTCATTTTTATTTCACATTTCATGGAGAGGAGTCTTAGAATTACAATACCTATTCTAACACGATACAGTTAATGGATCTTTAAAAAGTATTTCAATATATTCTTCCCATTTTCCTCTTATTTGTACACTTGCACTACACTCATATTGGCAGAGCAAATAGCTATTACACATTTTTCTCTTCATTTTAATCCTCATGTAGTCATAGTTGGTCATCCACAATTTAAGAATGTTTACCACTTGTTCTTATGTCAGTGTTGTAGAGTCATTTTTGGAACTCACTGTGGTTGTCCGAAGCATGTGTTCTAGTACTTTCCTCAGGAAAGGCTCATAGTAACAATGTTACTTACATTCTTACATCTGAATAGCAGTTGTTTTCCTTTTTTCCCTTTAAACTCAAGAGTCCGTTCTCCCGGATATAAAAAAAAAACAACAAAAAAAACTGGCTCCTATATTCTCTCTCTGGATATCCTATATTATGTGACTCTAATTTCTTCTGACATAAAGCATTCCTGCTGAAAAGTCTGATGGTAATCTAATGCTCTTTCCTTTATATGTCA